ATTCGACATATCGACCACAGTTGATCCGAGTTATGTGATATCTTTGATAAGGAAACTTCTGCCTTCGAACGTACAAGATGGCGAACGTGCTATTGGCAGGGGTTTGATTCGTGAAGAACCAAACACTGAAGAGATAAAAGAGGATGAATCTTATCAAAACCATGGTACACTGAATAGACCAGAATCGAGGAATGACGATCACAATCAAGGTAGATCGGCAGGAGAAGAAACATGGGAGGAGGGTGGATGCATTTTATGGGATCTTGCCGCAAGTGAAGATCATGCTCAATTTATGGTACTTGCCATCTTAATTTTATGTTCTATCATACATTTTGATGGCATGTGTTTTGGCTTAATTCCTTCATCCGTGATTGAAATATTTGCTCCAGCAATTAAAAAGACACTAGGCTGGTCTAGTAGAGGAAAAATTACTCGAAATAAAAATATTTCTGTGACCCACATTTTTGTGAACACGAAACCATATATTGTAATGAACATGACAACTATGTACTGATTAAATTTCTATATAGGTTCAAAATCTTATCCTTGAAGTGCTTTCAGCTAATCTCGCGGTTTCTCAATCTTTGCGTATTACTGTAAGTCACGTTTTTTATTTAACAAATACAGGTTTAAGTAGCTGACTTGGCAGTTAATATTTGTTGGGCCACATGTTGAACTGCTGAAAGCGAAATAGATTTTCATTTTTAAGGCTGCTTTTTGTGTTGCAGGAGATTGGTCTTGGAATAATTGGTAACCTTGCTTGCCATGAAATTCCAAGAAAACAAATAGCCTCTACAAAAGGATTGGTTGGAGTAGTAGTGGAGCAATTGCTTTTAGATGATGTACCTTGCCTCTGTGAAGCCTGCCGGTAATTTATAGCTAAAATATTGTGAATTTTAGCTTGGTTCATAAGGGTCGACAGTCACACCCTTTATTATATGACAGGGCTGATTACATGTGGAAAAATTCGCAGTTATGAAGCAAAATACAAATACATGTAACTTTTCATTTCAATGGACCGCATATGATATATGAGATTTATGTAATTTATTATGTTGTTTTGATCTTATGGATATCTACCAACTTAGAGAATGGTGGTTGTCAGATCCAATAGTTTGACATATGCAGGCTACCAGTGCTGGCATACATCTGTGAATTGGGCATTTGTGTATTGAAAAATCACTACATGTCACATTAAAATATTGATTGATTAAAATGGGATCTTAATTGTACAGTGTACTAAGCTTACTGTGGGTTAATTTGTCAAGGTAGGGTGTTAACAAGCTTTGCAGGCTGAACATATTCTCTCTCGTATACTCTGGATTGCTGAAAATGCTCTTAATCCAATGCTACTTGAAAAGGTGTAGACAGTATAGTGGCATTCTTTCTATTTAACAGCATCTACTTTGCAATTAATTCATGCCATAATATGATTAATTGTGTGATTATACTCTCGTAGTGTCTCAGTTATATAGTTCTGTATGAAGTAACTTTCATGTCTTGTGGCTTGATAAATGAAGCTAACATGCTTTTAGGTGATGAAAATTCCTTGAATAATTTGTTAGTAATTGAATTGTGCAGACCTTAGTTCAATAATATGTATACTTTTTGGCCTTGCTGTCCTTTTGAATTGTGTAAACCTTAGTTCGGCAGTTTTGTAGCACTTTTTGTATCAATGCCTCAACTATTTTTGTTCGTTTTTTTTTCCAGAGCGTAGGTCTCCTTTTGGCTGTATTAGAAAGTCAACAGGAAGTAGCAGCTATTCTTCTTCCACCTATTTCGAAGTTGGATATTTTGAATCTTCTGATCAAACTCTTGGCTTTTGAAATGAGCAAATTAAAAGGAGAACGAATACCGGAGAGGTATACTCTTTTGCAGTACCAGATGAAGCTTTCTTGTCTGATGTTTTTATATCCTGCGCAAGCAATTTGTTGGAACTCACTTTCTTCGATGGTTCATTGATGTTGCATCCTCCAAGTATAGCAAGTATTTTCATTTCAACTTTTCAAGTAGAAAAAATCAGAAAATAAATTGGGAAAAAAGGAATATTCATGTATGTATATGCTCTTATTTCTGCGGAAGTCACGTGACATATTATAAGTCAAAATGCCATTGGCCACAAAAATTGGATTTGAGAGACATGTTGAGTTAATGGATCTAAAAATGTAAATATTTTTCTATCTTAACTGAAGTTGAGGTAGTAAAATGAAAACGACCCTATATAAGATTAGGCACACTTGGACCTTAAATTAATAATTTATGTGTTTGTCGGTTTCAGTTGCATATAGATAATTATTTTCCTATACAGTTATTTTTCAAGTATTTGCCTATTTTTCTTTTCGATTACCAGCGGGGGTTGATGATGTGACTTTACATCATATTGCATCAGGTACACTGTGTTGGATTTGATTCTTCGAGCAATTGAAGTTCTCTCCACCATGGATAACTATTCACAAGAAATCTGTCTAAATAAAGAGCTCTTGCAACTAGCAAAAGAGCTGATTGAACTTCCAGATAAATATGAGGTATGCTGTGCTTCCCAAATTTCATGCCATCATCACTTCTGCCATGTTGTTTCACTTGTGCTTAATATGTATGTACCTTGTAAAATATATAAACTTAAATCATCTTCTCGGTAGAGATTACACTTCAGCTACTTGTGTGTGTTTTCAGATTTCATTGTGAATGAGAAATAAAACGAGGTTTTACAAACCCTTTCTGTTTTGTCTTATTTTAAACTATATTTCCACCCCCTTCAGGTTTCCAGCTCTTGTGTAACAGCTGTTGTTTTGCTAGCAAATATTCTTACTGATGCACCAAGCGCAACCTTTGAGTTGTCACAAGGTAAATCTCGTAATATATAAGTACAGTTTTCCTCTTTTCCACATTAAGTAAAATTAAGAATAAGCCGTGACAATTTAGTTTGTGTCAGATTTGAACTTCTTACAGGGTGTATTCAATGTATTCCCATTTGCTTCTGATGATGCGGAAGCGCAAAGTGCTATTTGGAGCGTTATTGCTAGATTACTGACGCTGGTCCAAGAAAGTGAGATGAGCCCATCAATCTTTCATTTTCTTGTCTCGATTCTTGCAAGCAAATTGGATCTGATCGAAGATGAAATCCTTGTCCGTCCATGCGCAGAAACAGATGCTAGAATTATTGCTGTATCCTCGATATATTTTCATTTGATATTCCTGTTAGATTATCTTATATTCGAATTTTCTCCTATTTCCATGTTCCCTTCACTTACTTGATAGATGAAAAGAATTTCCGATATCTTGATGCGGTGGAAATTATCAGATGGTAGGGTAAAGGACACTTCTTCCATGGAAGACAGTAGCATCAATGAAGAGACTGTTGATAAATTGCTGGAAGTCTGCTACAAAGCTACCAGGTAACAAGAACTGCTATTTTTCTTCTTACATCTTCGAATAAAATGATTGCTAGGGCCTACGAGAAATTTCTTTTTATTCATAAAAACCGTAAAAATCGGTTTAATAAGAATAGTTATTGGTTCCCCAATTTTTCTGTGGTTGACTCGAACCCGTGATCTAATAGGTAATAGGTGCAATGTGCAAGAAGCTACCTTGTCTTTTTCCAGAACCGAGATAAAGTAATCTAGGAATACATTACGTGGGAATGGCGAATATGTGCAATTATTTGAATGTGAAAAGGTGAATGAAGTTGTGTAGACCAAGTACTCATCTCTCTAATAGGTAATCCAAGTTTACGACCAACAGAGGTTGTTTTCTGTAGTTCCCTAGGCGTGTAGTCGGATTGAATAAGCTTATTTTAAACATTTATCAATCTTTGAAAATTGTATTTTGAACTTGGTTTGATTAGAAATGGAACGAGCTTTTAATAGAGTCAAACATGAATCCACCTCGAGTAGCTTGACTTTTTATACATATTTCCTATTTATCATTTTTATTCTACTCAAACTCGAGCTATCTTATCGAGAACTAAAATATGTTCTTAAGCTTGGGTTGTTAAACAAGTTTTCAACAGTCTGTCTCGATTCAATATCGAGTAGTAATCCCATTATTTGCAATGCTTGTATGCATTGTAGATTTGTAGGTAATCGAAGATCCATGTTTTCTTGTGTGTGTGTGTGTGTGTGTGTGTGTGTGTGTGTGTGTGTTTGTGTGTGTGTGTGTGTGTGTAAATTGATTTGATTTGATTATGTAAAAACTTACCAATGAACAACTTTTTATTCAGCTGATTAACATGAAGTGAGTAGGTACCTCTAATCAATTAGAAACTTACATTGTCACGATCTTCTTATCTCAACTCTCGAACAAAACTTTATCTTCTTAAATCCTCAATTAGAGCCGAATATTTATTTTTTCCGACATTTTCATAATATCCGAAAAAATCCTATCCCCGCCAATCTCCGAACCCGAAGCACCGGCCGCCACACGCAGCACATCCTCAATCAAGGCAACATTCCCCATTATATCAACGTGGCCCCCACTCTCCAACCCCCTACCTTCTAGAAAGTTCAATGGCGCTTTGTGTTTGTACTCTCGCACGTACGAGGATATTCCGGAAGGATTGAACCTCGTTTTTCCGCGCCACGGTTTCGCGCAGACGAAGCCCGCGCTTATAACGGGAACGCTCTCGTCACCGTCGGAGAAGTAGACTCCGCCCTTTAGGCAACCGTTTGGACTCTTGTTGGCCGAGCTGTCGATTTGGAGAGGGATACTTTTGCACCGCCCGGGTGGCGATACTTTGTACACGTAGGATCGTTCCGTTGGGATTCCCACTCCGTATAGACAGTATATCTTCATTTCTGGGGCGTTAGGTAGCCTGAATTTTTTTAAGAATTGATAAGAAAAAAAGGTGTAAATTTACAAAAATACCCTCCCTTCAAACTAAAGGAAGATCAAAAGCCCATAATAAAAATTCATGCTTACTTAGTCTCGAGCGGATTTGACCAATACTTGTAATGGTCATACTTCGGATCGTCGAGGTCGTCGGCAATGCCGTGCGAGAAGTGGGCTTCGGCCCTTTTCATCATCTTTGGAGCAATAGACCGGAGAAGATCCAATAAAGTCTTAGTAGTATATGCTTTTTCTTCCGAGATTCTCTGAATGCTCTCTTCGCTGACCTCATCATATTCCGTCCAAACTTTTCCGCACGATGCAGGGGATTGTGAAGTAGTAGCATTATTCAAAGATACCTATTTCAGTTCATATTAGAATTTTGATTTTTCGAAAGACGGGCATTTTATTAATTTTTTCACTTTTGATAAGGGGTTAGTTGCAGATGGCGGAAATACCTTGGAATCGAGATTGAAGATTTCCGAAGAAGGCAATTCGGATTCCTTCTTCCCGAATGAGATGATCCTGCCGTACTTTGTCTTTGTCGATTCATGTACTTGAAAATCTATCCTATTATCGGTTTTGTTCCCCTTCGCGTCGATTTTTTGTTGGTATTTTTCCGTTGGTGAATGGCATACGTAATCTTCTTCCGGAGACCAATCCAAGTCACCCCAAATGGTCTCCCCTCCTTTAGGTATCAATGAAATGATAGAGTCCCATGTTCGAGATACTTTCATCACTTGTTCCAATGCCTGAAGTCCGAATATATCCGAATCCAATAAACCAGGTGCCATCGCTCTATTTACAAAAAATGTTAGTGTTACAAATATATAAAGTACATCAAATTATTCATAAATAGATTGATGAAGAAGAGAGTCGAGCAAAATATTTGTGTACCTAATAAAAGCTACATCTTTGCTCTCGGCGGATATTAAGTTACCAACGGCTTTAGGAACGCCAAGAAAGGCGGGGCCGATATTCATGATCGCTTTTATGTGTTTGGCGCACCAAAGGGGGCCGCCACCCCCGCCCATGGGTGGTGGTGCTTCGACCCATTTCATGAAGTGGAGGAAATAGATAACACCCATCGAATGAGGCACCACCACCACTTTCTTGTTGCCGTTTGTCACATACATAAGCTCGATTTTGTTCTTCAATCTACTTAGGCTTTGGTCTCTCACCTACTCGAATTAAATGACTATATCAACACACACTCAACACAATCTTGTAAGAATTTTTTTTTTTTTTCTTATTCTTGCAAGAAAATAGTATAGTAACAAATCATACTATACTAAAATCAAGAATTGAAGAAGCAAACATCTGCATTCATTACAATATTCCTCGTACCTCTGTGTTCTGAAATGACAATCTCCAATCATAAGCAGCCATGTACATATTCTTCCCTTCGTACCCAATGCGCGCCAAATTCTCGATAAGAATAGCCCAAACAAAGTACCCCGGAGCAAAATAGTCCGCCGCAACCAGTCCGGGTACGGGTCTGACCCGTATTCCAGGCGGGTCGAGACCCGTTTCGTTATCCAACGAGAGATGCTCCAACCAACACATTGGCCTAAATAAAACATCCATCAGAATGTTCAATACTCTAAAAACTGAATCTTTTTATCTATATCTGTCTATATATATGTATGTATGTACATGCAAAAAGTCGAACCTCCGAAATATTTCGGTGAAGGTGCCGCCCCAGAGGCGTTGCCGGAAAAGGCCATCGGAGCAAGGGCGGCCTTCCCAAAGCTCGAGGCCGCCGGTGACAATGCCAGGCACTAAAACAACCGGGTGGAGGGCGGTGACGCCCTGCCTCCTCAGCCTTGTACCCGGCGGCTCCGGCGGGTGGAGCCCCGCCAAATTGGGCGGCAGGCAATGGTAGAGAAAGAAGAGCAGCCACCATGTTGTGCACAAGTAACCAATCATCCAGCAACAAGAATCTATGCACCTCCATTCTCTAGGGGCTTTCTTCTGAAAATGCTTCCTTTTCGAGTTTTCCTCAGAAGCAGCAAAAACAACATTGTTTTTATCGTCAATTTTATTTGTGTGAGGAGGGGTTTGGTTTTTTTGAGGTTCTGATTTCTGATCGTACGAGGAACTCTTGGTGGGCTGCAGAAAACAGAGTTTTCTGAACCGTAGAATTGAAGACATGGCATCAAGATCAAGAATTCAAGAATCAAGAATCCAAGAATCAAGAATCAAGAAAGTGTTGACAAGAACATGAAAATTTTGTGGGGGTGATATATTCAATTTGATCAAGAAAAAGGGACCCCAAATGGGGGAATAAATTGAGGAGCTAAAGAAATATGAAAGAAAGCAAAACACACAGAGTAAAGGTGAAACTGTGGGAGAGAGAGAGAGAAGGAAAAGGGAGTTATGGGGGGTGGCAGAGAGCAAAAACCACGTGGTGAAGAAACAGATATGAAGGTGTCTGTGGGTGCAACCACATAACAACACACCAAAAGATGGAAAAAAAAACTTGTTAGCTGAAAAATTTGTTAGGAGAGAGAGAAAAAAAGGAAAAAGATTGGATTTTTATTTTACTTTGTTTTTGGTGACAAGAGAATATGCTGATTTCTCCTAAGAGGGTTCCTTAACTTGTTGTAACTTGGTGTCAATTAATGATGATGAAACCTAAGCCTTAAGGAAGAGAAAGTTAGATACATATACATAACAAAATATGTAATAAATATGTATGTTGTATATATGTAATAAAATCAAAGAATTAATTCCCTTGATTTAGGACACTTGTCTTTAGCCATGAAAATACCTCTCTTTCTCTCTCTAGATCTCTCTTTCAGCTGTAGCCGCACTGTTATCGTCATGTGATTTTCATCATTTTTGGGGTTGTTTTTTTTTTTTTTTTTTCTAATCTTGTCACGTGGACATCTCTTTCTCTGGGTTTCTCTCTCTAGAATATTTTTTTCTTTAATGCTCTGAAAATGGAGCAAAAAATAAATATGGGTTCTTTTTGTCTGAATTGAAAGAGGAAGAAAAGGTGAAGTCCCGAGGTATGGATTGATTGGAGCAGTGATAGAGACTGCGGGATTATATGCTTACTGTTTTGTTTGTTGTATTTTCAAGAATTAAACACGCAGCGGATGGTGTAAGTGCGAGAGAGAGAGAAACAGTAGAGAATCCGATGGGGGGTCACGGCCCCCATGATCGGGAATGAAAAAAAAATTAGCACACAGTACGAAAAACACACAAACCTAGATCTTCGTCGACGATGGTTGATGATGATGATGGAGATGGTGGACTGGTGTGGACCTATTTTGTCTTGTAATGGGCAATTTCGTAACAAAAAGGGGTTTTGCTTTATGGGCTTTCAAGGGAATAGTACCATCAAGTATTATAGTTCGTTCATGTATTTTGTGGTAGTGGTTTATTTTTTTATTTGTTATATATACTTTGTGTAGTTTTGAGTTGTTACATTCATAAAGAAAATCAATAAATGATTAAATGTACATGGGATTAAATAAAAAAAAAAAATAGAGATATGCGATTTACACTCTCAAAATATTTTATTTCACCACCAAATTAAATATATTTTTCATTTTATTTTTTTTCTTTTCCTTTCACCTATATATCTTGTTACAAGTTTATAAACCATCTACCACTAAATTAATTAAAATATTTATAAAAAAAAAAAAACCCATCATTTTCATTGGAAATTTCACCCTCTTCACCTTAAGTGAATAATATTTCCGGTAGTGAAAAACATCTTCCAATGTCAAAAAGATGAGGAATTCACGTTTTTTTATAAATAAATTAAGATTGTTTGTATCGAATGTCATGAACCACCACCATAATTGGCCAATTTAGCTTAATATAATTTTGTTTCCTAAAAAAAAATTTACATAATCTGTAGATCTGATATGGAAGTTTAAATATCTTGTAATAAATATTTCTTAGCAAAAAATAATAATAAAAAATTAAAAAAATTAAAAAATAAAAAATAAAATAGAAGTAACTTAGAACACATGAGGATTTTGTGAATATAAGGAAGGGTGGTGGACTATAAATTTGAGAGGTATTTATGATATTTTATAATATTTGGTGGTGAATTGAGATACTTTGAAGGTGAAAATAACACCATTCAAAAAAATACCTATCACAGAAAGAAAATTAATAAATATACATGGATTAAGTATAGAGATATATAAAGAAAATCACTAAAATATCATTACTAATACTTTTTCTTTTAAAGTAATTATGTCAATTAATTGAGAGTGATGATAAATGATCAAAGTGAGAAAAGTATAATTATGCATCATTAAAATTATAAAGTCAAAAATAATTTGAAACAAAAAATTACTCTAAAGTAATAAATAATTTAGGATGGAAGGAGTGTTTTTCTTAAAGTAAAACTGAAACTCGTGATTTCGCCTCATTTATTTTCTAGATGATCAAGGGCATTAGCATAGTATACAACTTTTTTTCCCCTCAAATTCTATATAGTAGGGACATGGTAACAGTGACACGGGAAAACGGACACGGTGAGACGGCATATTCCAAAATTGGGATGCGCAAGTTTGGGGAAAATATATAAATACTAAAATTATAGAGGTATATTTATAAATATATTATATAAACACAAATAAGTTTTTATTTATATATAATTCTTTTTCATATGTTCTCATACAAATGTATTCAAAATAATATTTACTATTAGCTATAATTTGCAATTGATCATTAAA